ATCTATCTATCTATCTATCTATCTATCTATCTATCTATCTATCTATCATCTATCTATCTATCCATCTATCCATCCACCCACCCATCTCTATCTATCTATCCATCCATCCATCCATCCACCCACCCATTCACCACCCATCCATCCATCCGTACACCCACCCATATCCATCTATCTATCAATCTATCTATCTATCTATCTATCTATCCATCCATCCATCCATCCACCCCCCCTCCATCCATCCATCTATCCACTCACTCATCTATTTAAGATTTTAAAAAGTCAATAAACGAGCAAGGGTGAAGATTCTGATATGATGCCTACAGCTATGATGTTTGCTGAAGCTAACTTTATAAGACATGAGTGTCACTCACACACTTTCGCCATCCAAGACTAGATTGTTTCTTTTCTTTTCCTAATAAAAGAGGGCTTTATGAAAATTCCAGATTCTGTTCTACATATAAACATATAACCATTACAGTTATCTCAGGCAACGGAGAAATTAAATTGCCTTTCCGCCTCATGATCCTTCCAGCAGTTTTCATCTTGCTTACTTAGAGAATATTTTCATTTTGTCCTCCTGAGGCCAAACTTGCTGCAGTTTCAATGGCATCAAAAGTAGCAAAGTGGCTAAAGAAGGTGGAACTTGTGAAAGACCACGTCTGGTTCTTCTCTTAGTGACTGGAATCTCTAACCTGTAAAGTTAGATCTTCTAGATTTAGAAACACAGAGACAGCTGGAACATCTGAAGATTAAGGGAGCTTTATGAATCCTTTTGCTCTCTAACTTTGGACACTGGGAGCTGAAAGACAAGGAACAGCTGGGGAAAAAGCCTTGTTCTCTAAGGTACGAACATCTGGCTGTTGTGGCAGGCATTGTTTCTTTTCTTCCATGGCCAAGAGATTCAGAAACAGAGTACAGCTAAAGTATCAGGAGGTATTTCCTAACCCTAATTCAAAACATGCTCTTGCCCAGCAGAAGATTGCTGTGTCTACTCAGTCTGCTCCCTGTCCAGACAAAATGCTGATATAATCAGAGTTGACAACACAGCTTACTAGTTCGTAAATACCCACAGAGAGAAAGTAAGTCATGCATCTCTGCAGCACTGTGTTTTTCTATTCAGATAGAAATCGGATGGGTTGGGGAGGAATCTATTATGCAAATAGGTCTTCTGGCACACAAATCTTTTATAATTGAATATAGCATCTGAACTATTTATGTATTTATTTTATTCAATTTCTCTAACTGCCCAACTCAACCGATTTTGTAACAGATTGTAAATCCTAAAATTATAGAACAATTAAAGCAATGTCAAACAATAAAAGGAACAACAAAATAAATTATTGTTTCTGTCCAGTTCTAAAGGTCCATTGATAGGCTTTTATTAGGATCTAAAGGAAAGCTCATGCATTCAACACTACAGAAACTGCAACGTTTATTTGTCTAATACTTAAATGACAACATGCCAAGTGTAGTAAAATTAAGTTTACTATACAGAAAGCTATCTTGTAAGAAGAATAAATTCTCAATTACTGGACTTCTGTTTAGATTCAATGAACACATTTTTCATTCATTTATACATTCAATTTCCACACTATTTAAGAGATTTCTATCAGCTAAATCAGGGCTATGAGCATTAAATTGATTTATTCAAAATGATTCCTTTATATCAATTACATAATTACACAAATCATGTAAACTTACACAAACGTGCAAATTTGGATTTCATGGGCATCCCTCCTCTAAAATGGTCTGTTAAATCAAGATTTGTAGCACAGTGGCTTAATATGAGCCAGTCATCTCAATTCACAAAACTCCACAGCTCATGGAAACAATGAAAAGGTATTTTGGAGCAGATTAACTTCAGAATCTGAGAGAAACCTTTCCCAGTCTGGCTTTTCTCAACTGCGAATTGTCTTGTTCAACAATATTTTGCAGAGGAAAAAATGGACATCATTTGGGACTGGAACCTGCCAGGCAGATGGTGCAGTCCCAGGTACTTTCACCTAAAGCAGCATATGTCCAGTTTGAAACCTCATTTGAAAAAAAAAGGGAAGGGAAGGAGAAGAGAAAGGAATGGTAGAACAGCATTCTTCAAATACTTGAAAGCATGTCACACCAGAAAGTAGTCAAGATGTGTTTTCCATTATTCCAGAGAGCAGGACATAGAATGATAGAGTTAAATTACAAGAAGGAAAATTCCAATTCTAGGGGGTCAAACCTTTCATAATATGACAGTAGATCTAACAGTTCAGGGATTTTCAAACTTGACAACTTTATGACTTGTGGACTTCAACTCCCAGAATTCCTCTTCCAGTCTTGTTAGCTCAGGAATTCTGGGAGTTGAAGTCCACAAGTCATAAAGTTGCCAAGTTTGAAGACCCTTGATCTAACTAGTCAAAGAAGTAATGGATTTCCCCCTACTGGAATTGACCAAGCAGAGGCTAGATAACTAACTGATGGGAATGATTTCATTTGCACTCCTGCATATATTTAAATTTGTAGTCAGTGGCTTAAATTGCCTTTTCCAATTGTAATATAAGAAAAAAAATCTATTCTGCCATGGCCCTCTTCTCATGTTATAACTGATATAGCATTGGAAGCCACTAACAACATGAAAAATTCCCTCTGCCTTTAAAAAGCATTATCACACAATGATCAGTGTTGTAGTTTCTGTCTGTGTTTGTAGAATAGGAAGACCAATCCATCCTCTTTTGTCTAAATATCACCAGATTTCCCACAATCACACCGTGTGTTGACTGGGCCAGGTGAACAGAGAGAAAAAATCAGAGAGACACAAGTTAATAGTAAAGAAGGCTCTAATTACACAGTACAGTGTTTCCTTTGGCAATTTTAAAAATCAGAGTTCCATGCCTCTAATAAGTCAATTTTAAGAGACTATGGTTGTAACTCCTTAATACCAGGGCTTCATCAAAGGCAGAGGCATGAAACAGTCTCTCCCACAGGATCATAGTTCACCCTCTTTTGATATAAACTGCTCTGTCCCTCCAACTACTGCTTTGAAAATGCCTGCCATTCTATATTTGACTATTACAAGCTTTGTATTTCAGCAATGTGACCAGCTATGGATTGCTGCCCAAATGGGGTTTGTTAAAGAGAGGGGGGATTTTTATTATTATTTTTTGGATGAGGCCAAGTTGCAAATAGAGGCAGCAAAATGAACAAGAGAAAATGCATAAGACTCAACACATAACCTTATCTATCTATCTATCTATCTATCTATCTATCTATCTATCTATCTATCTATCATCTATCTATCTATCTATCTATCTATCTATCTATCTATCTATCTATCTACTTATCTATCAAATTTCTATAGCACCCACCTTGCCTGCTTGACTCTGAGCAATTTACAAATAAAACCATAAGATCATATAAAAACCATAGTTAATACAAAGTTTAAAAATGGAATTAAAACAAAGTTAAAAAGAACACTTGAGAAAGTTAAAAAGGCAAAGGGAGCACCCACCACCACCTACCAACCACTCTAGACATTTCATTACCTAGTTTGGTAATGAAACATCTGCAAGAAACAATCAAGCACCAAGGATCTCACAGTTCAACCTGAGCTATAAATATTCTCTTCTTTTGCTCTTCTCCAAGACCCTGCCAGTTGAAATTTACTCTTAAACTCTTACGTCAGTTGGCAAAGCCAGGTCCTGACACTCTTCTGAAAGGCCAGGAGAGACTTACTCCAGGGGCAAGGTGTTCCATTGGGGGTGGCAGCAATAGCAGAGAGAAGGTTCTTCTCCTAGACCGTGCCAGTTGAACTTTACTGACACATTTCACAACATTCCCTCCCTGCCTGCCTGACTAGAAGGAATGGGTTGATGAAATAGGGATGAAATGTAACCCAGCCCTATACTATCAAGATGGTAACTAACACCTTGAATTGGACCCGATAGCAAGCTGGCATCCAATGTAGCTCCTATAGCAAAGGTGCTACTCATGCAACCCAAAACTACTTGTGCCTCCATATACTAAATGAGCTTCAGCTTCTGGATAATCTTCAAGGATAGCCTCATGTACATCGCACTGAAGTAGTCTATGTGAGAGATGATCAGGACATCTCTCAGTCCAACAGAGATTCCCAGATTTAGTTGATTGATCACAACTTGTATATGTTTCTGACTAATACAGCCACCCACATGCTATATTATAATACAACATATGGCTCCCATTGCAAAGCAAGCTGATGAGTCCTTATTATTTAAGAAAATAACTGATAATTCTAGATTCCTGTGAAGCATTTTTCTATACCCTGCTAGCCTTCTAAATATGCTGGAAGTATAGGTGCAAAGCACAACTTGACTACATTTCATGGTTGTGTAAGAGGGAACCTTTAACCAGAAGGGAAGCTCCTTAAGATTAATTAATTTGGTTTCTATGCAACATGACCTTACCTACCGGCTCAAGTTGGCAGCTGTAATCAACCTCTAACTCCAGAAATTT